TGGGGAGTGGCTGGAGAGGGGCTTTGACCTGGTCTTGGGGTTTTCCCACTCTTTGGCATACCTCACAAGACCGGACATAGGTAGAAACATCCTTGCCCATTCCCTCCCAGTGGAATGACCCCCCCAAACGGTCTTTGGTCCTGTTCACCCCAGCATGGCCACTAGGGTGATCATGGGCTAAGCTCAAGAGCTTGGCCCGGTATTTAGTTGGAACTACCAACTGTCTCTGAGGATGCCAGTCTTTCTGGTGTCCACCAGAAAGAGTTTCCTTGTATAAAAGTCCTCTTTCTACAACAAACCTGGATCAATTAGAAGAGCTGAGTGGTGGTGGGTTGTTCCGTGCCGCCGTCCAAGCTCTCTGGAGGCTTTCATCTGCTTCCTGTTCGATCTGGAACTGTTTCCTTGATGCTGGAGACATCAGTTCCTCATTGGATTGTGGACCTATGCTTGGTCCCTCTGGGAGTGATGTAGGGGATGGGGCTGTTTCCGTTGACTGTGAACTGCTTTCTGCTGGAGCACTATGTTGGGATTCAGGCTCCGGCTGAGCCTCTTGTGTAGGGTTATCGGCTGCTGCCGGTTCAGGTTCGGTGGGGCCCTCTGGTGTTGAGGTTGCAAGTACTGGATTCAGTGCTGGCAATGGGTCTGGTGTTGGTTGTTCGGCTGGTTCCGGTTCTGGGATTGGTTCCGTCTGGCTCTCTGGGACTGGATCCACTACTGCTGTTGCAGACATTGGCCTGGGGTCAGGGTCCATCACCTCTGACCGGATCCTGATAGAAGTTTCCGGAACAGAGCTAGGCCTTACGGCTTGTTTAGCCTGGCTACGGGTGACTATTCCCACCCTCTTGGCCCGCTTCACATGATTGGCCAAGTCTTCCCCCAACAGCATGGGGATGGGACAATCATCATAGACCGCAAAAGTCCACGTTCCTGACCAGCCCTGGTACTGGACAGGCAACTTGGCTGTAGGCAAATTGAAAGAGTTGGACTTGAAGGGTTGAATCATCACTTGGATCTCTGGGTTGATTAAATTGGGGTCCACTAAGGAAGCATGGATAGCTGATACTTGTGCTCCGGTGTCCCTCCACGCGGTGACCTTCTTCCCGCCCACACTCACAGTTTCCGTCCGCTCCAAGGGTATCTGGGGGTTATCTGGGCCTGCGGACCTCTGGTGTGATCCCGGTGCAATGAACCTTAATCTGTTAGGGTTCTTGGGGCAGTTGGCCTTTACATGCCCCAGCTCGTTACATTTAAAACATCGTCCAGCTGACGGGTCACTGGGGCGAGGTGGGTTGCTGGAGAACGGGGTGGTGGGACGATAAGGGGTCTGGAGGGTTCTTTGGGAGGTATGTGGGGCTTTGGGCGGCCCCCGGTGATAGGGTGTGGTCTGGGGTTGTCCCTTCTGGTCTCCGCTCCCACTGCGACCAGTTTTCTTCTTCTCGGCCACCTCCACCCATCTGACTCCAATCTCTCCTGCCTCGATTACAGTTTTGGGCTTCCCATCTAGGATGTATCTTTCTATTTCCTCAGGAACACCCTCTAAGAATTGTTCCATTTGCATTAGGAAGGGCAAATTTACTGGAGATTCAACACTTGCTCCTGATATCCAGGCATCCCAATGTTTCACAATGTGGTAGGCATGTCGGGTAAATGACACGTCTGGTTTCCACCTTAGGGCTCTGAACCTCTGACGAGACTGCTCGGGTGTTATCCCCATTCTGACTCTCGCCTTGGATTTAAACAGTTCATACTTGTTCATGTGTTCTTTAGGCATTTCAGCTGCCACCTCAGCTAAGGGTCCACTGAGCTGCGGCCTCAGCTCTACCATGTATTGGTCAGTAGAGATGTTGTACCCAAGGCAGGCCCTTTCGAAGTTTTCTAGGAAGGCCTCAGTATCATCGCCTGCCTTGTAGGTGGGGAACTTTCTGGGATGGGGAGTGGTACCTGGAGAAGGATTGCTAGGGTTTGTTGGTATATTCTGCTGAGCCTTTATCTTCTCCATCTCCTCCACATGCTTCCTCTCTTTTTCCTTCTCTTCCAGTTCTTTGGCCATTGCCTCCATTTCTTTGGCCCTTGCCTCCATAGCTCTCCTGTGAGCAGCCGCTTGGTGTTGTTCTGCCTCTTTTGCTGCCTCCCTTTCTTTGTCCTTCTCCTCCTTCTTCAGCCGCATGAGTTCTATCTGTCTTTCGTGTTCCCTTTGTTTTTCCTCAGCCTGAAATCTGGCTAATTCCAGCTTTTGTCGAGCCGTGGATTTTGTCATTCTAACCTCTCTGTTTTTAACTAACTTTACACCCGAGGTTTAGAAATAAACAAACAAAACTTGGCTGTAAAATTTTGCTGTGCTGGAATAGAATACCTATTCTCTGATAGTGATTGTCAGCCTACAGAAAAAGACAATTCCCTTGTCTCTGCTCTGGCCCCAAATCAAAGCAAAAAACCTCCAACTACTTGGAAACCTGCTTACCAGCAGCCTAAAGGGAAAAAAAAATTCCTTTTCAAACTTGTGCTCCTTGTAAAAAATCAAAATCTTAAAAAAAAAAAACCCTGCCACTTTTGTCTCCAGGCAAATGGGTAGAACACCCCCCCCCATTTACTTTTAGGGGGGAAAAAAACTCTGGGTTGGAAGACTGTGAATTTCCCTGCAGGAGTTAAGTACCCTGCCTCCAGGCAAAGAAAACCTGCAATTCACAAAGATAATCCCCTTTGTCTCTGCTTGGCCACAAAGCAGAGAAAAAACAAGCTGCTTTCAGTTTCAGCTGCTTTCTGGACTTCCTTTCCAAAGGAAAAAAAAATTTCCTTTTTAAAATCTGTATTTCTAGTTCAAAAAAATCTCAGCTAGATCTCAAAATGATTTCAGGTTAATCCCACCACTCTGCCACCATGTCAAGGTTCCTTCCCCACTCTGAACGCTAGGGTACAGATGTGGGGACCTGCATGAAAACCTCCTAAGCTTATCTTTACCAGCTTAGGTCAAAAATTCCCCAAGGTACAAAATATTCCACCCTTTGGATTGGCCGCTACTACCACCAAACAAATACTGGTTACTGGGGAAGAGCTGTTTGGAAACATCTTTCCCCCCAAAATACTTCCCAAAACCTTGTACCCCTCTTCCTGGACAAGGTTTGGTAAAAAGCCTCACCAATTTGCCTAGGTGACTACAGACCCCGACCCTTGGATCTTAAGAACAATGAACAATCCTCCCAACACTTGCACCCCCCTTTCCTGGGAAATGTTGGATAAAAAGCCTCACCAATTTGCATAGGTGACCACAGACCCAAACCCTTGGATCTGAGAACAATGAAAAAGCATTCAGTTTTCTTACAAGAAGACTTTTAATAGAAATAGGAGTAAATAGAAGTAAAGAAATCCCCTCTGTAAAATGAGGATGGTAGATACCTTACAGGGTAATTAGATTCAAAACATAGAGAATCCCTCTAGGCAAAACCTTAAGTTACAAAAAAGATACACAGACAGAAATAGTTATTCTATTCAGCACAATTCTTTTCTCAGCCATTTAAAGAAATCATAATCTAACGCATACCTAGCTAGATTACTTACTAAAAGTTCTAAGACTCCATTCCTGTTCTATCCCTTACAAAAGCAGCATATAGACACAGACCCTTTGTTTCTCTCCCTCCTCCCAGCTTTTGAAAGTATCTTGTCTCCTCATTGGTCATTTTCGTCAGGTGCCAGCGAGGTTACCTTTAGCTTCTTAACCCTTTACAGGTGAGAGGAGTTTTCCTCTGGCCAGGAGGGATTTTAAAGGGGTTTACCCTTCCCTTTATATTTATGACACAAGAGTTCCCCCAAAAACACATAAGTCCCCTGCATGGCCAATGTCGGGAGGAAGGTAAAGGAGTGGGGAAGATTTGGGGTCCTGGGGCAAAGTGGAGGGTCTGGAGGAAGGAGTAGGGGACTGAGAATGCAGTGGAGATTATCTGGAGGCCAGGATAGCTAGTATGACAGCAGGGTATTTGCCTGGTTGTAGGGCAGAAGGTACATCGGGAGTCTGGTACTTGCTAGAGAACATGACACCAACTGCTCCTGTCCCCCCGTGGTTGGCTGGAGTTGGCTCCCCGCTCTGGGGTTGCACTGCTCAAGTTTGTCCCAAACCCTAATGTGGAGCTAGCTGAGCCAAATTTTTGTGAGTGGCATTGCAACCTGGCACATGGGATCACAATGCAATTTATTCAATTTGGCATCATGATGGGTGGGGGACTGAGCCAAACCGGAGCAGTGGTGCAACCCCATACCCCAGATCACAATGCCCTGAGCGGGGAGCTGAGGCCAGAGAGCCCTGCAACCCTTTGGCAAATTTGACAGTTTTGGGTTGCGACCCACAGTTGGTAGAACCTGATCAAATGAAGCTATCTAGTGGGTTAGGGCCCCATCCTAAGAGGCAGCTGCACCAGCCACTCAGTGGAAAGTGGAGAGACCATTAAAGGGAGCCCCCGCTGATCTGGAACAGATATTCTGGGTGTCATTTTCCATCCAGCCTGGGTTTTATCATCATTTCCTGTACCCTGAAAATGTAGTTCTCTAAAGGAGAGCACCGTGTTATTGGCACCTTGGACTGGATTTTCCCATGGTCGCTTTCTATCTGGGCTGGGATTTCATTTCCCTTGGTCACGGGGGGTAAGCCCTTTAACACTCCTCCTCCACCCTCATTTTTAATTATTTTCCTTGTTTATAATTCCATTACCTTATGCGAAGCTTGTGATTTATATCAGGGTGACTGAGAGCAGGATCAGGCCCCACATCATTAGTTTACTTCTGCAGTGATTCTTTCAGCTTCCAAACCAACTATGAGATGGCAGAACCTAGGAACAATGCACAGGACGGGGGGAGGTAATCAAACATGCGATCCCCCATTTGTAGTAATGGAAATAATCTAGTGCCCTAACCATATGGCCATCGTTCCTCCCTGGCTGTCTAAAATCAAAGTTATTCAAAGCCCTCGAGTCATTTACTATTACCCTAATGGACCTTTTTTCTCTTTGCAGGGAAGTGCCCCGCCCCACACTACATTGAGTTTGCTGAGATTATCATTGACAGGGTCATGCTGGGCAGCAAGGGGCGATACAAGTGTGAAGATGGCTATAAAAGGACAATTGGGGAGAGTAATTTAATTGTCTGTATTAATGATACTGGGCTCATTCGCTGGACCACAAAAACTTCTGTATGTACACGTAAGTAATTATCATCCTTCCTGCTAGGTCTAACCACATCTCCTATATGCACAGGCAATTTTCAACTGATTTAGCTTTTATAGTGGCCACACAACACTGTGCTAATGAATTATGTTTTGTATTGTTACTTCTCCCAGGCAAACCCACCACCCAGATATTGACTCCCACTGACAATACAAAACTTAATATACATAGAAGTGTGTACAATGAAATTTAAAAAAGGGTTCTTTTTATTATTTCTATTTAATAAACATTTCCTGCAGAGCTGGAAACACCACAGGGTTGAGCTAGTGCATAAGAAAAGGAAAGTAAAACAGACTCTAACCAGAAAGTGAAACTGACCAATTTAGAGTCAGGCTGCAAGCTGAAAGAACAGGAGGACTTGTGGCACCTTAGAGACTAACAAATTTATTTGAGCATAAGCTTTCGTGAGCTACAGCTCACTTCATCGGATGCATTCAGTGGAAAATACAGTGGGGAGATTTGTTACTCTCTAAGGTGCCACAAGTCCTCCTTTTCTTTTTGCGGATACAGACTAACAGGATTGCTACTCTGAAACCTACAAGTTGAGTGAATAGAAGGAGTGGAACCACACAGCTTACACAGTGAAAGACATATGGTACCTGTCAGAGGACAAAGTTTCAGTCAGGAACAAAACAGAGATGGGCCCAGACCAAAACCGCAGCTCTGAACTTTGGGAAAATTTGGATCTGAATATGAATCCAAACTGCTCTTTATTTATCTGGGTGTTTATACAATGTTAACCATCCTAATTCCAGAGTGGCTCTGGTTCTCAGTCCCAGTTCTAGAATCAACATGCAGCATATCAGGGAAAATTTCCTTATGGTGGGAAGCTATTAATTTATTATTTGCTGATGGCTGACAGCAAACTCAGTCCTGAAAGGATCACAGAGAAAGATGTGGTTCCTGCCCCAAGAAGCTACCACGTCTAAAACCATACAAATCAAATGCAAACCTCACTAGCTGCCCAATACAGCTGGACCAGTGGGAGGAGGACTTGCTATTTCCTTATACCTTTCTCACACTGCTGCTGCTCTGGTTTAGTCTCTTCTGGCCACAGTAGAGCCTTCATGCCTCCTGACCTACTTAGCAGAGGTTTGGATGTTAATTTTGCTGGTTCCATGGGACCAGGGTCAGTGAGGCCACAATGGGTTTTCCTTGTCATGACTCCCTCCAACACCCTGCCCCCATCACCGACTCATTCTTCTTCAACAAAGAGCAAACTCCCTGATGCAATCTATTTCAATCTGCTCTGGTGGAGGAAACGTGTATCTGTCTCTGTGTACCCTGGGGCACACCCATGGTTCCAGTCTTCTTTGCTAGGAGCCCTGTGCTTCAGAAACGTGTTGGATGCTCCATTGTGGTCTGTGGTTGTTGTTGTGTACACTCATAGACATCAGTAAGAATGGACAGTGGAGGCCATCACATGTGCTGACCCACATGCTGCTCTCCTGGAGTATGGGGGCACCTCCATTGATTTAAACTGAGATACACCAGGGCTGAATTTGTCCTGTTTTGTTGTACTTTAGAAGGGAAATGGATTTAGGGATGTCATCTCTGGAAAGGTAAATCACAGGCTTGTATAGCAAAGCCACCTGGGTGCCACATGCTTTTTCTTTATATCTAATCCTGTTATGCACAATTAACCAATACAGGAACACACCAAGTAAGGAAACCTTCAAACTAAGAATGGGGAATATTTAGGTTAAATATAAGGAAAGTTTCCTGGGATTGAAATATGGAACAGTCTCTCTATGTAGATAGTGGAAACCCTGCCACTTGCGACTTTTTAAACTAGACCCCACCAGAACATAGGAATTGCCAGATTGGATCAGACCAATGGTCTATCTAGTCCAGTAAACTGAGAGGGGCCAGACCCAGATGCTTCAGAGGAAGGTCTAAGAAGGCATATATGGAATACTCTGAATTATATGGAGGCAGATTATGCGCTGTAAGGAACAACCCTGTACTGGCAGGGGTTGGCCTACGCAATCAAATGGGGCTTTTCCATTTATGATTCTATAGAATATCAGCTTCTCTTACAGAAAAAAACACTAAGCTTAATCTTCTCCATAGGGGTCTCCATGGCTACTTCACAGCAGTCAGAAAGAAAACCACAGAGCAGTGCACCTGAGAATCCAGTCACCATAGAGCCATCTGACACAGCAGGTACCACTCATTAATTACTGTAACATATTTCTCCTATTGACTTCCATGGGAGAAGAAAAAGTCCAATGTTGAGTATTTTCAAAATCCCACCCTTTAATGTTTTCTATTAGATTTTGTCATCTTTGATTCAGACAGAGTGGTTATAAATCCCACTTGCTAGGAGCAGTTGTTACTGTGTGATCAAATGGCAGTATTTTTCATATTGCCCCAAAGAATTGGGAGAGGCTGTTTTTCTCCAGGTAGGCCCATGTTGTGCCTTTGCAAATCTCGCTGATGTGATAATAGCCACAGTGGGATAAAAATAGCACCTAGCTAACTGTCTGCCTCCTTTGGATTTCATAGGTTATTGTGGGATACCCAGCCCTGTGGAACATGCCACACCTACGATGACACATTATGCCGTAGGTCAGGAACTGCATTACAAGTGTCTGAGAGGTTATGATGCTCGACCCCCAACCTCTGATATCAGCACATGTAAGGAAGAGAGTGGGAAAATCTTCTGGACAAGGCTAAGTCTGCTGTGCACTAATGACAGCAAGAGTGGAGAAGAGATGACACAACCAATTCCAATAACAGGTAGGATGGGGTGCTCTGGCACTGACTAGTCCTTGATGAATGAGGTGTTAGATCCAGCTCAGATTCATTCCCCTTTGTGCAGGTACCAGCCATCTCCAGCTGGCTGTGCCTCAGTGCCTCAGGTGTAGGGAAATATGGGGACTCCTCAGAGCTTCTGACTGGGATGTGGAAACCACCCCTGGGAAAGGGAAGAGGAAATGCCATGCTGCAGTGTAGTGTTGGGTTTCTTTCACCTTAGGCACATGGCTACCAGCCAAAGTAAAGATCAGTTTGGGGCTAGGTTGTGCCTGACCCTTGTGCAGACCCAGTTTCTCCAGACACGCGACTGCCAGACAAGGGAAAAAGTCTCCTTATCGTAGATGAGGTCTCCAAACCCGCAATCCAGCAGCATTAACTGCTACTTCTCAGAGCAAATCCACCATCCCACAACACACTGACACTAGGTCACGCACGTGAAAGCTTCAGAAAATGATGTCTCATCTGAGCCCCTCTTGTAGCACTGGGGGTTTAGGGACTTCAGTGGGCTGTAGGCAGATCTATATACGGTCTTTATACAGTCCCCCTTACCATAGTATCCGAGCACCTCACAGTCTGTCACGTGTTTATCCCCACTACACCCCTATGAAGCAGGGCAGTACTATGGCCTCCATTTTACAAATGGGGAACTGAGGCACACAGAGGTTAAGGCCCAGATCTATAATTGATTTCTGTGGAAGTTAGGAGTCTAAGTACCGTTATGAATCTAGGCCTAAGTCATTTGCCTCATGTCACATAAGAAGCCTGTAGCAGAACAGGGAATTGAATCTTGGTTTCCTAATGTCTAAGTCGGAGGCCTAATGGCTGGACCATCCTTCCTCTCCAAGCTGACATGGAATAATACTGAGCCTCTTGGTGAGATCGATCCCAGTTCACTGGATGCTGCAGTTTACGTCGCATCCATGTATAACTGGCAGTAGACTGGGCACACTCTCAGGCTGGAAGTGTTGATTGGTTGTTTAAAAAGCAAACATGGCAATTATAACATCTCTGTGTGATGAAAGTGAGCTCTCAGATGCAAGTGCCCACCTCAGCACGGCTCTGATTTGCATGAATGACCAACCCTCATTGGAAGCAATACATCAATAATTAAACAACAGGAATTTCTCTCTTTTTAGATACATCAGAACCATCCCATGTCCCACCAGTGATGCTTCATGTCTGCACAGGTACACCAGGTTCAGCTCATCCATGGATGATATTTCTCCCTGCTTTAGGACAGTCACATTTCCCCTTTAAATTTGTGACTCCCCTTAAGGGACCCGGCACACTAAACAACAGGAATTTCTCTCTTTTTAGCTACATCAGAGCTGTCCCATGTCCCATCGGTGATGTTGCCTGTCACAGGTACACCAGGCTCAGCTCATTCATTGGTGGTATTTCTCCCTCCTTTAGGACAGTCACTTTCCCCCTTTAAATTTTTGACTTCCCTTAAGGGACCCAGCACAATCAGAACTAAGGAACATTTTGCACCACACAATAATCACCTACTATTCTGTGACAGATGTAAACCCCAAAGAAGGACATACATTGTTCAGGGTGGTAAAAGGGGGCATAAGCATTTAAGCCACTTCGGGTGGAAACTTTAGCACCTAAAGGAGTTAGGTGCCCGAGTCCCATTGAAAATCAATTTGCTGAGAACTGACAGTGAACTTGGCTCTATAAGGATCACAGAGAAAGGTGCAGCTCTCACCCATGAAGCCAGTACCCCTAAAACTATACAAATCAAACCGAAACTGTGTCAGCCAAGAACTAGATTGTAAGGTGTTTGGGACAGGAACTGTCTCTCACTATGTGTATGTATGGGTTCTGGTCTCAGCTGGGACCTCTGGGTGCTACTATGGGTACTACCCATAATAAGTAATAAGTGGGAGTGATGGAATGAAATTAAATGAACAGAGTAAATAGCATCACAAATATTTCCCATGATAGAGGCATTTGTATCCCAAGGCTATTTTACAATGGCTTCGCCATAACTGCAGTGGTGAATGCTCTTAATATGGATCTCTCTGGCCCTTCTGTCGGAGCTCTGCAGGAGGGCTGAGTAAACAGCGCTGTCATGGTGCTGGGATACAGCTAGCTCTCTCTTTCTTTATAGTGCAGGGAGGCGAGTTCCTATCCCTTTCCTGACATCTATTTCTCTAAATTAACTTTGGGGAAACTGCTATTTTCTTTCGAACCATGCTAATCACTCTGCAGTGTTTCAGACAATATCATCTGCTAACAGATTTGATTTTTTGTGTCTCCTCAAAAGTTGCTGTCTCTACTGTCTTCCCAATCATTTTCATCCTTTTGGGGTGGATCATCGTACCGAAACTATGGTAAGTAGCCTGGCATAGAAGGAATGAGATAATTGAATCTAAACAATCCCTAGCATGCATGGAGTTATTAGCCACATCACTCCATACGCAGCATAGGCAGGATTCATTGATGTATTCTTTTTATTACATAAATGATTAACTATATTAAATAAAGGCACAATGAAAAAAATCAGGATTAACATTTCTAAGCTTGAAATGGGCACATAAAACTGCTTACTCTGTGACTCTTGGAAATGAGTCTGTGAGGCAGAGGTGTCAATAGGGGAATAAGTTGTCTAATAATGAGTGGACAACATTGCTAAGAGGTAAATGAGGTCTGATTGGTGCAAATACATTGGATTTAAGATGGATTTCACAACATTGATATAACAGGCATCACAGAAACTTGGTGGAATGATGACAATCAATAGGACACTATAATACCAGGACACAAAATATATAGGAGTGACAGGATAGGTCATGCTGGTGTGGGAGTGGCACTATCAGGTGCTGGATCTAGGGGTGCTGGGGATGTGGCAGCACCCCCTGGCTTGACGTGGTTTCCATCATATACAGGGTTTACAGTTCGGTTCAATGGCTCTCAGCACCCCCACTGTACACATTGTTCCAGCATTCCTGGGCTCTATGTATGAAAGAACGTATAGAGTCAAATATAGTAAAAATCTTAAATGAATCAAACTGTACCATAGAATCTCTATGGATAGAAATTCCATGCTTGAATAATAAGAGTATAGCAATAGGAGTATATTACCGACCTGCTGACCAAGATGTTGATGGTAACTGTGAAATGCCCAGGGAGATTAGAAAAACTATAAAAACATAAACTCAATACTGGGTTTCAGCTATCACCATATTGACTGGGTACATGTCACCTCAGGACAAGATACAGCAATAAAGTTTTAGACACCATTCATGACTGCTTCTTAGAGCAGCTATTCCTGGAACCCACAGGGGAGAGGCAATTCTTGATTTAGTCCTAAGTGGATCACAGCTCCAAGTGGTAAATATAGCTGAACCGCTTGGTAATAGCAACCAGAGTATAATTAAATTGGGGCAAATACTAAAGAAGCCCACCACAGCAGGCCTGGCCTTCAGAAATGGGAACTACACAAAAATGATGTAGCTAGTTAAATGGAAATTAAAAGGACAAGTCACAAGAGTGAAATGACTTGCAAGCTGCATGAAAACTTTTTAAAAACACCATAATAGAGGCTGAAATTAAATGCACAGCCCAAATTAAATGCATTCCCCAAATTAAAAAGAACAGTAAGAATACCAAAAAAATGCCACCCTGGCTAAACAACAGAGTAAAAGAAGCGGTTAGAGGCAAAAAGGCCTCCTTTAAGGTTTGAAAGTCAAATACTACTGAGGAAAATAGAAAGGAGCATAAACTCTGGCAAGTCAAGTATAAAAGTATAATTAGACAGGTAAAAAAAGAATTTGAAGAGGAACTAGCAAAAGATACAGAAACTAACAGCAAAAAAATTTTTTTAAGTGCATCAGAAACAGGAAGCCTGCCAAACAACTGGTGGGGCCACTGGACAATCAAGGTGCTAAAGGGGCACTCAAAGAAGGCAATGCCATTGTGGAGAAGCTAAATGAATGTTACATATGTTTTCACTGCAGAGGCTGTGAGGGAGATTCCCACACCTGAGCCATTCTTTTTAGGTGACAAATCTGAGGAACTGTCCCAGATTCAGGTGTCAATAGAGGAGGTTTCAGAACAAATTGATAAATTAGACAGTAATAAGTCACCAGTAAGGCTGCGAGTTTGTCACAGAGGTCACAAAAGTCATGGATTCCGTGACTTCCTGTGACCTCCGTGACTTCTGCAGTGGCCAGTGCACCTGGCTCGGGGGCCACCTGAGCAGCTCAGGGAACCCCTGGGCCAGTCGTACCGGCCACTGCTGGGGCAGTCTTGGATGACGATGCTTATAAGATGATGGAATCAGTTGTTGTCAGTCGTGTTTCTTATCATCTGTATTTGGCGAGCAGGCTGTGCTCTTTCCTTTCCGAGGCAGGATCTCAGCAGTTCTCGGTGCCTTTTTCATCATTATTGCCTTGTGCCTAACATAGGGCGAGCACCATCAAACCATTCAGAAACAGCAGCCGGGCCTGTTTATTAAGCAGGCTCTTACACGGAAGGCACTTTGCCCCAGGGCTGCGTGGCCACTTCTGATCAATTTCCAGTTTAAAGCTTAAAATATTTGTTTCGATTTTTAAAATCATAATTGCGTATTTTAAATGAACGTTGCACCTGAGCTCCAAGGTTTTGTTTGCAAACAGATGGCTTCAATATCCACTCCCTTCTATCCTCTGCCAAGGAGCTTTCAGGGAGGTGCTGGATTCTAACCAAGGGCTGTTATTTTACTGTATTGCTGCAGGAGACGGAGGAGTTTTACAGAAGAAGTAAAGACTGAAAAGACAAAGTCCATTCTAATAACAGCAGCAAGAGTGGAAATGGAAAGTGAGGTGGAAGCTCACAGATTAAAATCCAATATGTGAAGGAAGTAGCAGATGTTTCACCTTAACACTCAAGCTGGATTGCAGTGGGACAGACTGGTTCCTGCCTAGAGCCAAGCTATCTGAGCTCTCAGTGCTCAGAAAAGATCTATAGCATACGGAATATGGGCTGTATTGTTATTAACAGACAAAGAACTTCTTTCACATTCATTTCAAGTTGCTGCTATGTATGTATCTTGAAGAACATTAGCGGTAAAAACCTAAACAATTAAAAGTATGGAAATCACCAGTTAAGGGCAAGTAAATACATATTCAAATATATTAATAGTTTATATAATCTCTTTTTAAAAAGGAACATGTGTAAAATGTCACATTGGATATTCCAGAAATAGCCTTCAATCTGCCCCTCTATCCCTGCCCAACCTGACACTGCTTACCAGAAATTCTCTTCATCTTCCTCTCTTATATCATATGTATTTCCAATATGGGCTATAAACTCTCACAAACTACGAGCCAGCACATGTGGTCCACAGGCCTAACCAGACAATATGGCCATTATTAGACAGAGACACCAATAGAGTCATAGAATATCAGGGTTGGAAGGGACCTCAGGAGGGTGTTGACTTTGTCTGTGGAGCAGTGCTCCCCAAACTGTGGGGCTCACCGCCCTACATGGGCGCAGAGGAACATTTTGGGGTGGCATGCAGCAAGTCCTGGGCCAGCCCTCACAGTGGGCGGGGAGGGAGTGCCACCTAGCCCCACTCTGACCCAAGCCCAGTTCCAGCTCCGGCCCCAGCTCTACTCCACCCCCTCCTCTGCCCCCAACCCAGCTCCAACCCCACTCCGCCTCCTGCTCCGCGCCCAGTTCCAGCCCCAGCTCCACTCCGCCCCCAGCCCAGCTGCGCCCTCATTCCCTCTCTGCCCCCAGGCCAGCTCTGCCTGTAGCCCCAGCTCCTCCCCCATCCCCAGTTCAGCCCCCAGCTCCACCTTCAGACCAAGCAGCTCTTCTCAGCCAACTGTGCAGTAATGAATGGGGGAAGCGGACAGATTCCGTTACTGGTAAGGGGGATGCAACAGGAAAAGTTTGGGCACCACTGTGGTACAGTGTATCAAGAAGTACTTGACAGCTCATTCTGCCAGAGTACTTGGGACCCTGGTATGCAGGGGCAGAATTCAGTTTGACTTTGGAATATACAAACTGACATGTACATTTATTCATGAGATCGTATGAACTGCAAGTGCATTTGAATATTTATCTACCTTCCCATAATTGTTCATTTCATACTACTGTAAACTACTAGAATCCTGGGGTGACTCCAAGAATAGAAACTACTGCATCCTGGCTCAGCTTTATACTCTGCACCACTGGTTTGTTAATTCGTTCAATTTTTTTTCTTGCTCAGTATTCTTGATAGTTATACTTCACATGGTTGACACTGAATCCTATTGGGATAGACCTAGCTCATTATATGAATACCTTTGTTGAGGTGGACAGCTAATTATCTAATCTCAGTGCATTATAGAATACTTGTACATACATTTTACCTTTAGATGCTATTATTTTGGGTGGGAAAAGGAGAAGTCATATATTTATGTCATAGGGTGGATTGTTCACACCCTTCAGCTGCTGCAAGGGCTCCGAGTCCTGGCAGATTGGGATACAATACACTGCCTTGTTTCTAAATTATCTGACCCTTTTGCTACTTATTCCTTGCAGCTCCCTAATATTTCCATTATACATTGCAGATGGTTCTGGCATCTATATGCCTGCTGGCAGTTGGTCCTGCTCTGCACGGCTGGTCCAGTGGGCTGTCCTGCTCCGAAAAACTCATTGGAGAAAATTAATCCTTCATCTGTCCTAAGGTGCACACTGTTATGGAGAGTTCTCCAAGAAATAACTGCACTGTTATATGTCCCCAACTGCCTTGAAGCTTGTCCACTCTTCCGCTTTCTGGCTGGCTCATGAGTTCCCTCTCAAGTCCTGTTACTTCTTTGTTTCTTGAAAGTGTACCTCTCAAGGTTGAAAGAGACAAGCTTTCGAGCTACACAGTGAGTTCTGCCTCAGATCTGGGAACAGTAATCAGTGTCACAGCTAAATACAAGGTGGAGCAGACAGTTAAGCATAAGGAGTTAACACATGTTGCAAGAGACCATTCAGAATGAAGTGGGCAATTAACACAACTGCAGTCATAGGACAAAAGAGGGTTAGCAGGGTACAGGTTGTTGTCATGAGAAATAAAACCAGAGTCCATGATTTTTGGTGTCTAGCTGAGGCTAGGTCTACACTGGCAATTGAACGACAAAACTTTTGTCTTTCAGAGGTGTTAACCTCGACCTCCCCGGCTCCCCCTCCCCCCCACCCCCGAAAGACAAAAGTTTTGCAGGCGACAAGCACCAGTGTGAACAGCGCTTTGTTGGCAGGAGCAGTCTCCCGCCAACCACGCAAACGCCGCTCCGTGGGGGTGGAAGTGTTTTGTCGGCACGAGAGCTGACAAACAGCAGCTACACGGTGCGACTTTTAGTGGCACAGCTATAGCGACACAGCCGGGATGCTAAAAGCTGTGTAGTGTAGCCGTAGCCTGAATGTGAAGGCCAGGAAAGGGGGTTTCCAGGTAAGCTCCCAGGTTTGACCTTTGAAGGTGCTATGCAGGTTTCCTGTGAGGATGAGGACTGATCGAGTGCCACTGCCCAGGGAGTGGCAGGGTAGGAATCATGGGTGGACTGGTTGGCTTATAGAATTTACCACTAAGTAAACATGGTTCACAATTTCTGACCAACTCTTCAATGTGACTATCAATTCCTGGCCACCATACCACTGTGCAACACCTTTGCTTCACACATACCACCCCAAGGGGCCCTTCGTGGGCAGTGGGCCAGCACTTCTCCCTGCATGGCCTTTGGTACTATCACCTGGGAGCCCCGAAGTAGACCATGATCAGCCCATGGTGGCAATTCTTGTCTCACATGAAAATAAGCCCCCAGATAATCTGGAACAGATTTTGGCCAACCCTGACAAACATGTTTCAGAGTAGCAGCCGTGTTAGTCTGTATTCGCAAAAAGAACAGGAGTACTAGTGGCACCTTAGAGACTAACCAATTTATTTGAGCGTAAGCTTTCATGAGCTACAGCTCACTTCATCGGATTTATGTCTGAGAACTTCTTGTAACACCACATCCGTGGTCAGCGCCTCTGACAATGATGTGGAAGTGACAAGAGAGAGACCAGTCAAGGCATTATTAGCCTTTTCCTGGCTCATAACCCCCTTTTCTGTGAGTTTGCCAAGTAAAGCTGAGAACAGGTGATCAGCCACTTGATTGAGTATACCCAGATAGTATTGTACTGAGAAATTGTACTGATGTAGGTGATCAGCCCATCTATTTCTGTATTCTGCGAGTCTACCTGGATGGCATTAACAGTGTGGTTAACACCCAGTGGTCGATGTGTAAAGTGAAAGTGAAGCCATACAAATAATGATGCTACCTTTCACATGTCCACATGCATGCTAGGGCCTCCTGCTCCACTGCCGACTATTTCTGCTCAGCTGGGAAGAGCACTTGGGAGGTGACTGCCAGTGGGTGTTCCACCCCCTCCCTGCTGGATCTGGGAGCGCACAGCACCAAGAGCCACAGGTGAGGTATCACACGTGACAAAAGTAGGGGCTCATAAGGCAAAGTATGCTAGTGTGGGAGCTGATGTAATACGTTCTTTGAGGTTTGTGGCATGGTTGTATAATTGGGGTGCCCATTGAAGCCACCCATGGCCACCCATGGCAACAGCCAAGACCAGAGGAGACCTTGGGGAGTACGTCTCACCAACTGTTCTCCACAAGGTGGATTTCTGTATTCTGCCCGTCTAATACTTCAAAGCTCAGTGTCCGGAATAGATCCAGTCTGAGGAGGTTGACCCCAGAATGGATCATGTCAAATGGGACCACTCCCACGTCTTATTGATGATATGTCACATAGAGATCTATCTTGTCCAGCAAAGTGATTTTCACATTGCCATATCCAGATAGCGTGGACTGCACTGGCCGCAAGGCAAAGTATGCAAAATATCTCTGGTCTGTGGTGTATTTTATGAGTCAGATCATGCTCCAATGTCCACCAGCAGCAGTGTCTTTACACCCTGTGATGAAGCAGGACTGTTCTTAATGTTTCCTCTGAATAGTGTGGGGGTGCCTCAGTTTCCCCTAGGCAGTTCTTAAGTATCTATGTGGTGGATTAAGGGTGTATGATCATTGCAGAGCCCTAGAGGGCAGGTGTGTGCAGGGGCCTGGACACAGAGAATGGCTGACACCCTGTTTCCTGGCAACTGATGGCCTGGGCCTTCCCCCCTGCAAGGTGAGAGCTAAAGGGTTGGAGAACAAAGGAATCAGGTGACTTCCTGGCCCAGGAAAGGAACAAAGCCCAGAGGAGGAGGGGCTGGAGAGAGTTTCAGTTTGGGGCTGGCTGGGGACATGGAGTGAAGTGCAGACGTGGTTGTCTGGCTCACTGCCTATTCCCCCCCCCCCCCGCAAATGGACCCAGCTGAGGGGTCCTGTTCTCTGCACCTACAAGCTCTGGTTTAGATGTTCCTGTCGTCTAATAAACCTTCTGTTTTACTGGCTGGCTGAGGGTCACCTCTGACTGCGAAGTTGCGGGGGCAGGACCCTCTGGCTTCCCCAGAACCCCGCCTGGGTGGACTCGCTGTAGGAAGCGCATGGAGGGGCAGAGGATGCTGAATGCTCTGAGGTCAGACCCAGGAAGGGGGAAGTTATATGAGCTGTGTGTCCTGAAGACAGTCTGCTCACAGAAAGGAGACTTCCCCAGAGTCCTGCCTGACTTCGTAGGGAGCAGTTCCAGAGCATCGCCCAGGGACTCCGTGACACACCCGCTAAATGGCAGGGGCAGATTTTAAAACTCTGCCAGGCCCGTGTCACCAAATTGATCTCCTGAGCCATGGAATCATCGGTGTGGATGAGGTAACTGTGATTGTGTCATCATTTTTATGAAAGAATTCTTTTAGGTGGAGTCAGCAGAGTCTACTTCTCCACAGAGGAAATAAAACCCCCTCTGACCACATACCCCTAATTGTCATATACCACCCCACACTAGAACTCATCAAGGAACCTCATCCTGAAATAAATCTTTCCTGAACCCCCCTCTTCTGGCCTTTTAACATCCTCCCACACCAACTTCTCTAAGCTCATCATGAGAAGCAAGTTCCCCACATATCAGGACACCCCAATTCAAA